AATATCTTGATTCATCGCATATCCAGGTATTCCGGAACTCTTCCTCAGGTATGGATCTGAAATGTCGATGTTCTTCCATAACGTGCTTACACAAAAGGAAGTATAGAGACATGACAGATTGGCAGGTGTGTGTGGAAGAATATTACTATCAACCTTTCATCCACGAAAACCATCCTCTCATTCACATAAAATGAGCGCCGAAAAANATATCCAGGTATTCCGGAACTCTTCCTCAGGTATGGATCTGAAATGTCGATGTTCTTCCATAACGTGCTTACACAAAAGGAAGTATAGAGACATGACAGATTGGCAGGTGTGTGTGGAAGAATATTACTATCAACCTTTCATCCACGAAAACCATCCTCTCATTCACATAAAATGAGCGCCGAAAAATATGATCCATATTTCCGGCGGAAAAAGAGGGGGGCTATGTGGAAGCCACAGTAACGTATATTTTGCCACACACACACGCACATACAAAAGGTGGAAGATCCAGGGAAGTTACGAAAGTATCCGCACTTCCGTGGATCTTCCCACGGCAGTGACTGCCACTACAGCAGCAAGTGGCGACACTTTAAGGTTGTCTCCCGTTGACCCTGGAAGCGCCACTCACGCGACAGCAACTGTAGGCAAGCCTTGACCGAGTCCGCTCGGTCACCGCTTGACATTTTTCCTCGCCACAACTAAGAGAACTCTCGCCCTTGTGAGCGATCACTTGAGTCAGAGTGGTCGTATCCATAAGATTTCGTAGATATTAAGGGAAGAGGGGAAGATTGACGCTTTAAGAGGGTTGTAGACAGCAGTTTTACAGGAGGTGCCCAAACACCCATTTGCATTACGTCGGAATCTTGTGACCAGCCAGAAGCGAACGCGGGATTCCATGCGGCGGATACAGCACCAACACCTACAAAGCGCGCGTGTCCGACACGCACCACCGAAAACACAGACACAAAGAAGAAACCCTCTATCTGGATAAAAACATTTAGTACGAAAGAGACACACTTGCCTGATCCGAACCATCCCTGTTGGCAGCATCGCCCGGGAGGGGCGAGCCTTGGGTGCGGCGAAGGCCGAGAGCCTGTGCGTACTCGGAGGCGGCGTCGCTAACCCTAGCGGGGGCCTGGTCTACCAGCTCGTTCAGCTCGCGGTAGCCGTCTACCAGGCTGCGCACGCGCCTCTCGAGACCTGCAACAGCATGAGGGTCACCGCGGGAACGATGTAATGGCGTATTGCAGTGGTTGTTGTTGCCTTTGCAATAAAAAACATTTTTGATAAATGCTCGGTTTCTTCCAGCATCCGCACGTGTCCAACTGGTTGCGGATGTATCTTTGCATAGAAATATTTGGCATGCCCAATAACAACAACACAAGTCTCTCAATGGAACAAACGATTGGAGGAAAAAAAAGGGACAAGTTTGGGCTCTTGTAGGCGGCACACTAGGCCCAGTTCCTGACCGCACAGGATGGTGCATGGCACACGACTGGCAAAAGGACGGCAGCAGTGCCGATCCGTGGCCGCCAGCTTGGCGCTCACCCTCCGCCATGACCTCGGTGTCCAGCTGCAGCTTCCCCATGTGCCTCGCCATCGTGGGTATGGCCGCCAGAAGCTTCTCGTACTCTGTCACCACGGCGTCGGCCACCGTCAGGCTGGAAAGTCCCGGCACCCCCACCACCCCTCCCTCCTCCGAGTTCACCGGAGCTGTGGCCGGTCGGGCACCGTTATTAGTAGCATCGTTTATTGCTGCTGCGCCGGCATTGGCCTTGCCTCGCCGAGAAGGTAGAGGCGATACTGGACGAGGCGGAAAAACAGCAAAGGTCAGTTTCAACGCGAGAGATGTAGATCATCATCGGACAGGAAGGGTCTTTTGAATCGGGTTATCGGACGTCTACCTTCCACTGCACTTCGAATTACACAGGATCACCAGAGGATTTGTATGAACAGCATTACTTACAGGTAGCAACGACCCACTTTCAGATACAGCGCGAGTCGCGAAAGTCGATGTTTGGCATCTCGAGGAATGCCGTTTTCCGTGGCACACTGCTGTACGACGAAAGATGGCGCAACTTGACAGCAGAAAGTTTATCTCACTCCGCTGAGTGTTGGGCTTGCTCGCTGCGATCCCCCCCCCGGCTGTGGGCAGTATGCTGGCTCTTGCTCGCACGTTGCTACCCTTGGTTCTCGCAGCACCTCTCTCCCTCCGCGAACCGGCAGCAGCAGCAGTAGCAGCATCCATCTGGAGGAAGCGCTGGGGGCACACACGAAGCCCCCCAAGGCGTGTTGGTAGACGAGGGAGTAAGGACGACGCGAGCACTGGCGGTCACAGCAGAGTGGGGGGCTACTCTATACTGGCACGTACCAGCAATCTGTAGGGTCTGATTAGTCTGCTCTGCAACGTTTAACCAAGTTGGGTACATCAGTACTACACTGCTGTATCCTTGCCCGGAGAGGTGCCGCCCAAGCTCGACCGCAAGGTTCGTTCAATAACTATTGCCGGACGTGCAAGCGGGGGTAAGCACACATATCCTTTTATAACACCCCAACCGCTCTTGCTCTGGTAGTTGCGAGCGGCGGCTGGAGTGCCGCTGCTTCACCGTTCTGCTGTTGACTTGCAGCGACTTGGTGACTGCCATGGGTTCTGCAGCTGTTTGCGCTTTCTGGAACACCAAAGCCAACCTGCACAGGCCTCACGACCCACGGCTGCAGCAGCCCGCCAGGATGGCGGCACTCGCCTTCAAGCCTTAGCCTTCAACGTGTCTTGTTCCCGCCGCAGCTGCCTCTATTCACGTACCCGAAATTTATGTAGATCTGTCGAGCTTCGGCGGCTGCTGCCAGCAAATCGTCCAACCGTCAATATTCTCGCTGTTGCTGCCGCACGTCGAGAGAGCGAAAACCGCCGTATCCAAGGACGAAACCTCTGACACCCAGGAAGCTCACAACCGGATCATGACTCGGCATCGCAGGCGGTTCATGCGCACGCCCCGCCGCTGCGCAACCTGCGCAGTTAGTGTACACCACTGCACGCACTCAAAGGTTTCTTGAAGTGAAAACGCCTCTTTGTATTATTGGATGTGATATGCGGCGTAACCTCACGCGAGGTGCGAACGATAAACTCAACACGGGTTGGCTCTCCCTCGAATATACTGCTGTAGCTCAACAGAACATCAGTGGTCAACTAGCTGTACAGCCACATATCCAACGACCGAACCGAGAACATCATCGACGTGCCTCTCTTGCCCGTTACAGGAGGTGTTTGCCTTGCATGAGGGGAACGCGCGGATTGGCGCTGTTGCTAGCACTATGCGATCTTCGAAGCGAGCAGCAGCAACAGCTGGCGGGGGGATGCCATGATCATCATGCGCTTGCGTTTGTCCACGCACCGGCGATGCCGAGGGGGAGAGGGAGAGGAGCGACCGCCTTCAGTAGCAGCCGTCCTGCCGACGTGGCGACAGCGAGGAAGGCGATATCGGTCACGATGACCACGGAGCCTTACCGTGATGTGGAGAGTCAGGAGTACAAGTCGAAGTCCAAACAGCCGTGGCAGCTCAAGTACCACGACATAAAGACCAGGAGAGATGTTGCCGACGCTAGGTCTAAGGTCAGTTGCTCCCTCCTTCGTGGTTCGTGGAGTGTAGCGTGCCGCACGGGTTTTCGGGGCGGCGTTCGAGGCACGGTCATCGCGATAGTTCCTTCCGTTGGAGGATTATTTGGTTTCATGCAGCATGTTCCGTCCCGCCTTTCCCAATAAAATCCACGTGCGACGTTCCCTAGAATGACATGTATACGCGTCAGCTTTTGTTGCATGATGTTCCTGGAGGTTGTTCGAACTCTCCCCTGGTCCTGTGTTCAATTTGGGGGCGAAGCTAAGCTAAGAGAGAGAGCGCGAATGAGAACGCCGGGTTTGCCTGCCAATATAATCTACGCTCGTTATTGCAGTCCTGCTGTGTACTTCACATGTTTTTTTTTTTTGTCGGACTTCGCTGTCAATTATTTGTCAGACGCTCTACGAATTGCCCACTGCTGGATCTAGAGTGCTGCTGATGATGTACAAGCTCAGGATTAGTCAGCGATGTTCCTGCTGATCGTCGCAGTATAAATGAGGCATCCTGGGCAATGGCTCAACAAGACCAATAGTAGTGTACGTCACCGCCACACTCAACTACTATTATAATAGTCACCACTACAGCAGTGACGGCCCGCTCTGAATATATATATTCCTTGGCAAGAAGATCTGGTATGCGTACGGTGGTCTCTCTGTGATTGTACGTATAGTCACCTGGTGTCTCATAATATAACCGACACAATCGAGTCGCAGACGTTCGGAAAATTGACAACAGTAAAATAAAAACGTGAGCACGGGTCATTCGTCGGCTGTACCTGCTCCTGACGGGATTGCAAGTGGACCATATGAAACACTCGCACTGACTCATGAGGCGGAGAGTATACATGCGCCAGAATGACGTAGTAGTAACAACCCAAAACGAGTGTCAGCGGTAGTTGGCCGCGGTGCTTCTGCTGTGATGCTACTGCCGTATTTAACTGATGAGCCTCTTCAGTAATAGCTGACCACAATGCTTCTGCTATGATGCTGATGTACTTGCGTGAAGATATAGTAGCTGTCGCTAAAACGAGCGACAGCTGATAGATGTAACTGTCGTCAGACGTGTGCGTCCGCGGGAGGTGGAAGAGACCCTTTCTTCTTCTTTTTCTCTTTGCAATTCACGTCATTGGTTACCCGCGACGGCGCTGAAGACGCCCATGTCCGTGTACTTGACCCTCGTACTCTGTGCTAACTCCCCAAGTCTAACCTCTTCCTGCAGCCTAGCCTTCATCGTCGGCGAATTTCCAAGGTTACCAATCCTGTCGAAACTCATGGGCTCTACCATGAGGTCCACAAGTCTCTTCGCCCTACTGAGACAGACGAAAGTAAGCCCCGTGCAGGCCTCCTTGGGCCCCAAGTCAATGACGGCCTTGGCTAAAGTCTGCCCCTGGGACTTGTGCATCGTAATTGCCCAGCAGAGCCTAAGGGGCAGCTGCGTCCTGACCTGCGTCCCCCCGTCCTGCCAGGTGGTGTCGACGGGAGAAATAGGGACACAACGTCTATACCTCTCCTGAGACGACCATTCCCCCCCCGAGTACCCTTCAAACTTGACGACAACGTAAAGGGGGAGCTTCGGCGGGGGCGCATCATCTGCGCACACCAACTCGACGACTTCGCCTCTAATGCCG